GCTGGCTGCTCCTACGAACCGTAAGTCGTGATTGATGTTGACAATTGGAGGGCGCGTGGTACGCTTCCCTGCCGCAATGATAGGGTCAACGTACGTGACCTTGAGCTGTCGCTGCAAGTCAGAACGAATTGCTGCTCCGTCTCCGACCTCACTCATCGGAAATGATATGTTCTCGATGAGGATCGCCTGGAGAGACAGATGGTAATGCAATGTGACGGTTGCAAGCTGCTCTTCAGTCAAGCCATCCAATGTCGCATTCACAGATTCCAACGATCCTTTTGTGACTTGGAAGTTGTAGTTGGCACCTGTGGTGATCGACGGGCTCACAATGTAGATCTCACTCCATCCATGCATGCCGAGGTTCTCTCTCACTGTATGCGTTGATCCCCTGGTCCTTGCGACCATGTCAAAGTCTTGGACGAGGATTGTGCATTGAGAGCGCATAGTCGCGGCATCAGGCTTGCCACCCATACCCAAACTATTGCGAAATCCGTTCAGCGTGTTCATGGTGTTGATCCTTGCTTCTTCCGGAATTTCATCGTTGTCGACAAGATCGTTGTCTGCCTCGATCATCACTGCCGAGGTAAGCATCGGAGGAGAAGGAAGATGCACGCATGACACCAATGCCAATGCATGGTACAGCCGTGAATACATCCGTAACCACACCTTTGTACTCAGCTTCACGTAGACCTTCAGGTTGAGACCCTTGTCATCACTTTGAGAGACGGAACGGATCCTTGCCAAATAGGTCACCAGTCTTCTGACGTAATGCTGAATCGGTGTGGTCCCCACGTCGTGGTTGGCCACAAACTTTGGCGTCTCATCAATGGTAGGTGGGTACTCGTCTTGATCACGGGTCGTCGCCAGCAAGCTCGAGCGACAGCCCTTTTCATCGATGTTGACATAATGGTACCAACTTTCCTGAGCGCCAGCGGGGATTGGAGCTTCCTCCCATGTCGGTTGCGATGGTTCCTCTTCCGGTTGCGAAGACGATGGTTGTGGAGGAGGTGCCGCGGAAGATGACGACGCCGATGCCGTTGCCTCGTCCGTCCTTGCCCTCTTTGGTCCGTGGCTAGGGGTGGCTCGAGGCTCGGCAGCGGATCCTTGCGATTGTCCCGGCGTTCTTCCATGCTCAGGGTGCACGATTCCTTCCGGTTCGAGGTTGCTTGCCGTAGGCATCGCAACTCTCCCCGTTGAGTATACCCAGCTAGGATGCCGTTGAAGATTGGGCGGAAATAGGCCATCATCTTGCATAAGCGGACTTGGTGCCCCCATCTGTTGGAATTCTGCTTCCCATATGCCCAACGTGGCGCGTTTGGTAGAGCAGTCGACCACGTACCCAGATTCAACTCCGCACTGATTCCAGGTGTAGCCACGGAACGCATCCGGCAATTGGAAGCCGTTCCTGTCCTGATCTGCACATACAGCATCCACATGGTGCTTGAGGAAAGCATACGTGGTGTAGTCGGAATCAGGGAGCACATCGTTGGACCATCTGTAATGCGGGTGTCCAGTTTCTGGATCAACCCATGATACGTAGGAATGAAGCACGTGGAGACAGACACTGAACGCCTGGAGCGAGTTCATCGCAAAGGCGAGCGGATGTCCCATGCCTTGAGGCATTGTGCGCATCATCAAAGCCAGCTGGTGAACGTTGAGTGGCGTAGCGCCATCGTTGCTCGCTGCACATTCCTGGTTGTAGGTCCGTAGTCCATACCCAGTGTGTTTTGCGAACATGTACATCAGCTTGCACACCCTACATAACGTAGGCTCTGCCAACAGGTCTGATTGGTCAGGTGCTCTACCTGACATAGGCAACTTGTGGTAGTAGTCCTGATTCACCGTATACCATTGTTGAATTCTCGTGTCTGTCACGGCCTGGTAGGGCGTCTCCACGGAGTTGATGAGAACGGCGAGGTTGTAGTACACGTCCGCACTGACGATGTTCCTTGTTGCAGTGTTCAAGTCGAACCGAACTTGTTTTCGTTCTTGTTCCAGTTCAACTACAGCCAATTTTGCATCATCGCGGATCACTTCCTCATCCACCATAAACCTGGTGATGGCATTGAACTTCCCCTCGTAGTCAGCAACAATGTGTTTGAGACCTCCACCAAACTTGATGACCATGGCGAGTATCTCCCCATAGGGTTTGTCCATGTACTCCTCAGGGGCAGCAAATAAGCAAGCTTTGAGGATTTCTCGGACTCGAATGGAAAGATCCCCTCCTGGCGACAGATTTGCACACGTGAACAGCAAGACCAACGGAGGTGCTTTGAACGCTGCCCATGTGCGAATGAGATCATTGTCGACCACTTTGTCTTTCGTAATCTTCGGCGGGAGCGAAACGCTCTGCGACGAATCCCCAGAATACATCTCCAGGAACTTGTGGAACTTCAGAAACGTTCGCATCATCCCACCAGACGGGAAAACTTCTTCGTGGTCCACTCCTTCGAAGGCCAGCTCGTAGGCATTGTAGCTTTCAGCCATGGCTCGGGTTTCGGTCCTTCCTCCGTAGGAGGGAAGTCCCTACACCCTACTTGACTTCACGGTTCCGGGTTCTCCGTAAGAGGCACCCTTCCCCGATCCGTCTGGTCAGACCTTAGTTGTTCCTTACCTGGACCCTCCGTTGCGGCTGAATTTGGCGCCTCTTTGGGTTTCGGCGCCGAAACACACCCTGCGGCAGATTAATCGCCTCACGTCGTTTTCTCATTTTTGCTAGTTCCATGCTAAGATGAACCAACTCATGGTAGGACCGGTAGGATGATAGGACATATATAGCCGCAGAATTGTTGGGATGACCCGGAGTTTTTTAGGATAAACCTACGGGTGCTCATCATTCACCTTTACCTTGACTCAATCGGTGGATCAGGTCATAAACCTTCTATGGAGTGGGTTGCAGCGCCTATAGATCTTAAATTCCCTCAAGTTACACATATGCTGCCCTATATATAACCCTTGTATGTATGAACCCTCTATCCTATAAACCGTTAACTATATTTATTAACCCTCGGCCCTATTTATAAACCCTGGAACCTTCTAGATAGCCATATATAAATCTGTACCTATATATACTTGTATAAGTTGTAAGGGTCAAGCATTGAGGGTTTCGGTCTTTTTGTGATGTCCGCCCAATGTCGAAAGGTCTTCGTGCCCTTGATGCATCGGATGCCTGGCCCTAGCTTCGAAAGCTTTGCTCAATCGAGAAGCTTTGCATGCGCAGAGCAATCTCAGTCAAGCCTTGGGTTTATTTATAATAGGGTCGGAGCATATATATATATATATATACACATATATGTATACATATTATACATTCTTATATTTTCAAACAATTCTTCATAAGTTGGGTTCTATAGGTCTTCTGAACACCGGGCCATCAGAGGGATGCTTGCTACCGTTGTTGTCGGTGACACAGCCGTACCAGCAGCTAGCTGTATGTTTGGATTCAAGAAGATCGACTGCTAGCTTCGGAAGCTCATGCAGCACGACATGCAGCAACTTACAAGTGTAGCCTCGTTTCTGAAAATGACAGCGGTGACGCAGTGGTGTGCCCCCCCTCCTGCTGTGCTGCTCTGCACGCTTTGTTGCCTGAACCATGTACCCTTGAATCGGACCGCCTGCCGATGCATGTCAATTCTGTGGGCTTTTAACTGCAGCTTCATAGTGGCTTGTGAGGGCTGAGGCTTCTCTTTATAGATCGATACTCATGGCGCTTAGCTGTGCGGGACCCGTGCTGTCGGAAGAGCTGGCCCGAGAAGGTGTGGATCTCATGCAGTCAGACAGCCAGCCAAGCAGACAGCCACACAGAGACAGAGAAAGAGACACAGAGTGAGACAGAGAGAGAGACAGAGAGATAGCGAGAGACAGAGAGACAGAGAGTCAGAGAAAGAAAGAGAGAGAGGGAGAGAGCGAGAAAGAAAGAAAGAAAGAAATAGGGAGAGAGTTTGAATCGGCAGGTCTCCTTCAGCTTCCCGAGAAGTTCTGGTATGAATCCTACGAAATGGTCTTTTCGGCGATGCCGCAGGCCAGGCAACCCTCGATTGATTGAAAGGATTTGGGATTGGGTTAGTATAGGCTTATATATATAGAGTGAGGGTGCATATCTCGTATACCGAAAACGGAACTTCGCGCAGGCCGCACTATCGGAGGATGCTCTATGGACACTGCTCCAGAACTACCGTGGGGGAGGCTTAGTGCAGCACCTTGTGGTCCTGGCTAAGAAGTACCAACATCGAGTGGGACGCAGGAAACCAAGTCTTTGAAGTACGGGTATCCATTGCAGTGAATATCTAGTCAGCCTCCTTTCCCTTTCCCAAACCTGCCGTTGCCCAGGCAGCTCAGTCCATGCGCAAGCTCCTGACTCGGTGTGAGATCGATGGAAAGCTTCAGTGCAGTTGCTATATGCTGATATAGATCGAAGCCATGAAGTGTTTCGAAGCTGTCACTGGTAGTCTCTTACGTGTCTGGGGGAACAGAGAACAGGAGGCTGGTGGCAAAAGTACGACACGATGTTATTGTGCATGTTTCCATTATGCGGGAGCTTGACCAGCTATATCATATTATATTTATACATATATATATACACACAAATGCCGCGCAGGTGAATTCTCGAGTTGGGCTGGCTCTTCGATCCAAAGTACATCAGCTGAGAAGGCCTGGTTTTCGCTCTCATAGAAGAAAATGGGATAGCCAAATCAAGTCACGTGCTTGGTTTCTGTGGTCCTGGCATTTTGGTTTCTGCAAGGCCAGATTTTGCACACAGGTTTTGATTGTGATCAAGTAGGTATGGGCGTGAGCTTAGTATTTGTCATGCAGGTGGATGATCACTCTCTGGATTGGTGTGGTGTTTCTCATCCTCTCCTCGGAGGTGCTGCTGGCAAGTTTGACCTTTGTAATGTGGGATCTGTCGAACTTGTCCAAACATCGGCTTGGCTTGCTTGGTATCATACAGACATTTGCTCGAGCTTTCGAGCTTAGTGAAGGGAACAAGTAGGTCAAGCATCATGGTGTGCAAGAAAGAGCAACCTAAAGAGGAAGCTCTCGTGGTGTGTAAAGAAGAGTCGCTGCCGAAAGAAGAAGCCATCGTGGTGAAGAAGAAAGCCGAGACTGAAGCCTGTGAGGAACCGGCTCCAACAGAGGAAGTCCATTTGGACGGTCTTTGGGAAAGTTGGGCTAATGATGGCAGGCTTCGGGAGCGGGTTCTGAAGACCGGCACAATGTTTACGTGGCCAAGCAAGAAAACAGTTGGTGTGTGCAGCTTGAAGACAGCTGCTTGTAATGCCGATGTTTTGCTGACCTTGATCAAGATTTGGTGCCCACAACTTTCTGTGGCCAAAACAATCTTCGTGCCGCAAGCACGTGAGCAGGCCTGGGGTGCAGGATTGCATGTATGTGAGTCTGTATATTAGTTGAAATGTGAACTCACCTTTCATGAGTGGAGGTTTTCAAGTTGCGGGACCATTTCGCGATGGAAGAGAATGTGGTGAGACAGAACTGTGAAGCTACGGTGCTTCGGGGTTTCATGACTCTCCTCATCCGCCGACACGATGGATCACGTAGACGTGTGCTTTGGTCTGCATAAATCGAATTTGGAGCATTGCTAAGATTGCAGGCATATATATAATGAAATTCATGTGAAAGCTGTGTTCTTATGAACCTCAGTGTATCCCGAGGATAGAAGGCTGCAGGAGATCTATGAGATCATCACGGAGTATTGGGCACCGAAGAAAAGGCGCAGCACAGCCTCCTTGGAAGGGATTGAGGAAGAGGAGGAAGGAGATGCCGAGTGTGATGATGAGTGTGCTGTTGCATTGAAAGATGACGACGAGGATGATGCTGAATCCTGTCAGGCCCTTGATGATGACTATGGTGATTCTGCTATCGAAGAGCTTCGTGTTGCAGAAAAGCTAGGAATGAGGAGCTTGGCTGCTGCAGTTGATGGTTCGCCTTGCTTGAAGACAGGCTTGACGGATGATCTGGAGCAGAAGCTTCAGATCAGCAGTCCCATGTGCAAGCTTGAGACTAGCAGTGGCAAGAGTGAAGGTTCGTGCAAGAGTGAGCCAAGCTTGATCAGATGTGTCAACATCGAGGAATCTCCTGAAGTGGAGAAGCCCAGGGCCAAGAAGTTGAAAGTAGAACAGGTGAAGCAGCAGCAATTTCACAATGCTGATCCCACAGATCCTCGTGTACTACGCATTCGTGAGCTGCAGTTGCTAGCCTACATTGATATGTGTCTTCATTTTTGGGGTGGTGTGTGCCACGGTGTCTGCAGATTGTTTGCTGTATGATAAGGCAAGAAATCGCGAAGCGTCGTGCGACCGCATCTTGCGCACGGCCACTTTGCAGTGGCCGCAGACCTGAGCCTGCTATTGATGTGAGCGTGCAAGACACATGCCCGGCTGATCTTTCCCCCCTTGCCAAGAATCTGGAGAAGGAGTTTAGTGCAGTGGGTGGAGAGTGCGGTGATGCCACAAAGCCACCCCAGCAAAACCCAAAGGCCTTACCAAGTCCTGTGGCTGCCAGCCCCGATCCAGCCAAAGCCGAGCCAGTTTCAAATGATTGTTTTTTCGACGAGGATGAACCCCTCACCCGTGAGGAGCAGATGCAGGCCAAAAACACTGTGCAGTTACTCGAAGAGGAGGCCGAGGATGAGGGATTGCAGGAGGCAAAGCCCAAACGTGGGCCCGGCAGGCCCCCTAAAGCAGCTGGGCCAAAGGGCAAAGCTAAGGCAAAAGCCAAGAGTACCCCCAAGGCCCCCAAATCCGCTGCCAAGGCAAAAGCCAAAGCTGCAAAAGCCGAGACCGCCAAAGCCATTGAAGCCAAGACCGCCGAAGCCCCTGAAGCCGAGACCGCCGAAGCCCCTGAAGCCAAGGCCCCAGCTAGCAGCAGCAAGGCAAAAGCTGCAGCCAAACCGGAGAAGGCTGTGGATGCTGCAGCCACAGGATCCAAGAGGAAGGCCCAGCAGGAGTCTGAGGAGGCACCCCCGAAGGCAAAGGCTAAGTCCAGGAAGCCCCGTGCACCGTCTGTGAAGCCGGATGTTAAGGAGCCAGAGCAAGCCCCAGAAGCGGAAGCCGAAGCCGAGAAAGGTCCCAAGAAAACATTCGCCGGGCGACGACCCCCGCAACATGATGCTTATGCAATTCAGCGTTTTGCTGCCATTCGTGATGCCTTTTTCTTGATTGTGAAGCCGAAAGTTCGATTCCCTGCTAAGTTCGAGGCCTGGGGTCGGTTCTGAACATGTTGCTGTTGCTGTGATGCTTTATAATAGCAGTTATGAGGACATGTCGGCGCTTGTTTTGCAGGACTCCTTTTGGACACTTGCCATGGAGAACCTGAAGGGAGTGGATGGGGTCGGTTTGGACAAGGTGGCCAAGAAGTCTGCGGAGGATTTCCTGACTCATGAGGAGGTTCAAAGTGGCCTGGCTAGCTAGTTTTTGCAATTGTTGCACATCGGTATGTATATACCCGTGCTAGAATTGTTGCTGTTCGTGTGGGTTCTCGCTCTCTCTGGGTGTCTTTCCGATTTGAAACTTGTGTTCATGTCTACATGCACATATGAATGCTATGTATATGTATTGCTATATACATAACATGCTCATGTATGTGTATATATATATATATATATGTAACATGTATATACACACACGTGCAATCATACATATATCCATACATGTGTAGGGTTGTGTATATATACATATGTATTGTTATATCTATACATATATTTCTATTTTATATATTTTTGTATAAATATCAGTTAAAAGGTTATAAGGTCCTATACTATAATAGAACCTATATATATATAAGGTGAAGTGTGTGTATCATAATCGAAACATCATATATACACATAGAACAAAATAAAACAAAGCTGGCTTGAACCAAATACAGAAGCTGTAGCTTCCATTTGTGTTTCGATGTTCTTTGTGTGGAGCCCTATAGATACCCTAACCCCCCCCCCAGAATACAAGCCAAATGAAACCAAATGAAACCAATATAAACAACTGTCAGGCTACTTGGGAACAGTCAAACAGGTCTTCCTGGAACCCTGTCTCACTACCTCTGTTTGCTGGATAAGAACACTTGCACATGAACATATAGGTTCCTACGTGCTTCTTTGGATCGTTCCACACTGAACCTACTGTGGTGTATGTGCGCCGGCAGCTCAGGCTCGCTCATCTGATGCGATGGATCGACATTTGCGCATGCTTTCACGAACATGCCAAAATTTGGGGGACTCTCGATAGTCAAGGGGATCATGTGGGAGTGGTCACAGACAGTTGCTGCATGACCTGTAGTACTATCTGATCTAGATAGTTAACAAAGTGTACCCTGTTCTATTCCGAAGCTCCAAAAAGCCTTAAACCCTAAACCCGAAAGCTCTAAACCTTTTACAAAACCCTAAACCTCAAAACCCTAAACCCTGAAAGGCATGCAACTGTCCTGCTGCCCTGCCCGCATCTGTCGATCTGTGCAGTTACTGTTCCAACCTGGCATAGCCGGGCCAAGCGAGCTGAGCCAGCAAAGTGAAAGATCATGCAGTGCCAACATGTCTATCTGTTGTGTCTGGCTGTACGGGTCTTCTGCATGCTCGCTGACTGAATATCAATCTTCCGATATCCATGAAATTTCCGAAGTGTATGGTTTGATTTGCAGCTTCCATGCCAGGTCCTCATGAAGCGGAGAGCTTCTGCAGGAGTTGCTTCGCAATGCCGATACGGCCTGATTGATGACAAGGCAACTGGTGTGCCAGCTTTTTGTTCTTCTGTGCATGCAAGTGGATGCCCAGGATCATGAGACAAGTGCCCCCTGTGGTTCTTGATTTCTATCTGTAGTTTGCTACTGTCATGATTGAAACATTCAACTCAGTCTCGGCTGCATCTGGCTTCAGAGCAAGACACATGATATACTCAGATACTGGTAAAAAGTGTATCTCGATATGAAAATGCATTAACCCCTCGAGATTTGAAACCACTGCCTTATGAAATCAAACACCGGAATCTTGATGTACACGAAGCCAAACCCTGCCAACAAGTCTCAGCTTGCCTTGCTCATCATGGATGCTGCAGACACAGGGCTGCATCCCACATATGAGTTCGTCATCAAGCGCCTGGCATGGCTGAAAGCCCCCCGTGTCTTTGGATTGCACTTGTTTCCTCCTCCTTCACAGACTGATCATATAAACTGTAGAATGTACTTATAAATGGTCTCGTTGCACACTGTCCAAGGCCTTCATCGTGGTGATCTTCTTGCTCGGTCATTTGGATATTGGTGAAACCACAAGCAAGCCGTTTGAAATCATTGAGTTGTTTGCTGGCACTGCGAAAATTGCTCGTATGGGTAAAGCTTTGGGCCTGTCTACAACAGCTCTTGACAAAGCCTATTGTTCGGGGGACAACAAGCAGACCACCAATTGTATGGACATCAACACTGATGCGGGCTTCCTGCAACTAGTCTGCAAGTTTTGCCCTCCTTTTCCCACCCTTCTCCACCTTATAACTCTCATATCTACCATACTTTATCTATATCTGCCTTTTTCTCTCTCTCTCTCTCTCTCTCTCCCCGCACACACCCACCCACTCTCTCTCTCCTCTCTCTCTCTCTCTCTCTATCTCTCTCTCTCTCTCTCTCCCTCTCCCTCTATTGCTCTCTTGCCTTGCATTCAGGCCTCATAACCACATCAGCACTTTGCATGGGTGAATGTAGTCACACAATCCGAATCTCTCTCTCTGTCTCTGTCTCTTGTCTCTCTCTCTCTCTCTCTCTCTCTCTCTCTCTCTCTCTCTCTCTCTCTCTCTCTCTCTCTCTCTTCTCTCTCTCTCTCTCTCTCTCTCTCTCTCTCTCTCTCTCTCTCTCTCTCTCTCTCTCTCTCTCTCGTTTCGTGACAACATGCACAAACATAAAACACAACCGTTCACTCAGACACTCACTCACACACTTAGACACTCGCATGCTCAGCCATTCCCCCACTCTCTCTTTCTCTCTCTCTGGCTTTCGGTCTCTCGCTCCCGTTGCTTGTAACCGTGGCCTTTGCCAAGCTTGTCGAGAGCTTGGCTTGTTGTGAGCCTGCCCGAGGTTGCATTGCCATCAGATCATGCAAGCCAAAGTTGCTGGAGCAGTTGCTGTCATGGGGGTTCCATGCAGTACTTGGGTTCTCGCTAGCCGTGGCTCAACTGAAAGGTCTGAGCTCATTCCGATGGGATCCCCTGTGCATGAGACAGTCTACTTGGCCAACAAATGCGCCTCGAGGACCGAGCCTGAACCCATGAGAAACCACAACTATGTTTGGTATATATATTTATATGTATCATGTAGACTGAATGAGAGTTACACCCAGGATCATCTTGGATGCCATGCATATTTGACAGGACACCATATATTGTACATTATACTGGACATTATAACCATGTACCCTTGTTCTAACCAAGCCATGACTGAAAGAAAAGCAGCAGAGGGAGGGAGGGAGAGAAGGACAGAGAAAGAGATGTAAAGAGAGGAAAAGGATATACCGAGTGAGAGAGAGAGAGAGAGAGAGAGAGAGAGAGAGAGAGAGAGAGTGGTTCAGGACCATTCTCCTCTTCTTGCTGATGGTTGCTTTGGAAATTGTTCCTATCGTGGAGCAACCGGCCTCCACATTGTTGCATTTGATGCCACGTTTTACCTGGCTGCGACACTTGCTGAGGGCACAGGGGATCCTTGCAACTTGCTTCGCAGTGGGGCGCCTGCTGTTCTGGGTTCTATGCACACACATGTATATGTATGCACACACATGGAAGACATGAATACATGCATACATGTGCATACAGACACGAGACATGTTCATACAGTTCTGTGGCTTCTGTTGGCAGACCGAGGTATTTCGGCAATCGTTTTGGATGAAAACGTATGGTCACCCAAACTACAAGCGCACGGTGTGCTGGTCTACTTCTCGAGCAGTGGGGAAGCTTTTCCTGGGCAAGCTTAACGCAAAAGAATGTCGAAGTGAGATCGCTGTCGTTAAGAGATACACGGATGCCTCCGGCAAAAAGCGCTTTCATGGTCTGCCGGCACTCAAGAGTACCCAGAGCCTGGACAGAATAGATATTGAAGCCTATTCATAAACTCACAAAAGACAAGGACCCAGTCCTATATATGTACCCTTACATAAACCCTAAAGAACTCTGAACCCCTATTATAGTTATAAAATATCAAATGAATCAAAGATATGTATATTGAGGGCTTTTTATCTACACAAATTGAAGCCGGCCTTCCCTATATACAAAACTTATACAACCCTAAAAAAAAACCTAAAGGCCTATACCCGCTAAAGCTTCAACCCCCAAAGCCTTAAACCCCCCAAAGCTCCTCACCGATCAGGAGCTACCCGGTCGCCTTTGCAGCCAAGCTCTTGAGACTCAGGGAGGAGTTCATATCCACTCGCCCGGTCCTGCCGCAGGCAGGGTGTGCCGTCGCTCTACATTGGTTCATGTCTTGTGGGTTGTTGTTGCAGGCAGCTAACATGCTGGCTGGGTCAACTTGGCATTTTATTCGGGCATTGCCCCAAGAGAGAGACGAGTGTCTGGATGCGGAGCTCTATGCGGTCTATACCTACGCAATGAGAAGCACTCGTCTGCGCCTGCCAGAGTGTCTGAAATCGCTTGTACTTTTTGAGTAGCGATATAGCAAGCTCTATGGAGAATGGTGCCCAGGTGCTTCGAAGCAAGTGCCATACAGTGCTGTACATCTGTATAATTCAATGAAGGCCAGAGATCATACAGAGACCCAGTATTTTGTGACAGATGTTAGTGGGAGCAGCTGCTTGGGCTTTGCTGTGGGCTCGTTTTGGAACTCGTGCCTTTCGGTGCTTCCTGGGACAGAGCCAATGAATGGAAAAGGCCTCTGTACATGCTTTGCCTGCTAAAACATGCCTAGAATGTTCCGGTATGAGATTTTGGGTTATATAGGGGTCATCGCTGGGCCAAATCTGCGGCGTTTTTACCCGTCATTGCGGCGTAATCTGGCGTAATACGGCGTTTTCTGCCGTCGGCCATTTACAGGCACTTTTGTGAATGGTTTGTTGCTCAGCAACAGGCTGGGTTCAGGGTGACATGGCACTAAATCCCGGTATGTCCTCGTCGTCGACGCTGGTCCGTGGCTGCAACCTGGCAAAGGGCTTGACGTTGAGCTTGGATCCCGAAGTGGCACAGATGGAACTGGAAGTGCTTGCCCCACGGCTTGTAAAGCCTCCCTCCCTGATGCTCGCTTGCTCTCCCTCTCACTCCATAGCATTTTCCCTCCGTTTATATTGGCCTGCTTTATGTCCGACATATTTATACAATCATAATGATCCAAAACTCTCTCTCTCTCTCTCTCTCTCTGTCTCTCTCTGTCCTCCTCTCTGTGCCGGGCTTGTTTGCCTTCTCGGTCTATCTCTCATGCTGTGTGTCCGCTGTGACTT